TTTTAACTGTTTTTCCTCCTGAAAGCACCAAAAATGCACCAACCATAAACCATGGTTGGAGGAAACGACTGTCTCTTATATGTCAAATACTTCTGGTCCACATTCAACATCTGCCATACTATAATGGGTGAGTAAAATAATTTGTCAGCATAATTTCTGTTTGTGTTGATACACAACCTGAAAAACAGGTACTTCCCAATCTTCATTTAACATTAGGTTGCAGGTTACCTCTTCCCCATCTTTAGAACTCTATGGCCGTTTTATTAACAGTTTACACTTCATAAATTTGAATATGTTAAGTGTCGTGCCTTGCCTTTAAAGGCAAAGTATATTTCAATTCCATCTTTATGCATAATCTGTTAAATTATACAATTACATACATGTTGGGGTGGGGAACATGTAGCTTTCCAGATGTTCTTGGAGTTTGGTTCTCATCAGCCTGATTAATGGTGAGGAATGATTGCAGTAGTAGTTCATCAACATATGGAGGGCCAGATTCTCCACCTGATGTAAACAGAACTTGGTAATGCTTTAGAAAAATCTCAACATAAGCCTTGTTTCCCTGCATATTTTACATAATTTCATAATACATAAAGCATGTCTAGGAACTTGGGGGTGGCACTATACATCTTTGTGGACAGCCTGCATCTGATTAGTACATGTAGAACACAGGACTGATTGGTGTATTTATGACACAGGAATCACTTGGTTTTCTGTGTAGGATGCCTTATGTACAGGATTTTATGCAGCACTCAGTGTGATGATCAACAGGATCTTGACTAAAAGGTTGCAATGGGCAGTGACTGTTTAAAACTTCTGAAAATGTGTAGTACTCACTTGTGTTAAACTGGAATTAAAAGAAAACTTTGCTGATTTTTCTTCTCAACAGGGAAACCAGTTCTAAATATTTTGGGCTGGATGGCTGTTCTTCATGGATATTTGATGCTGCTTGTGACTGCTTATTCATCTGGTCAGCCTGCACACCAGTAAGCAAATAACTTTTGACCCCAGTACTGTGTCCTCCAAAGGAAACAGAAGACTGCAACTTCCCTTCACTTAGGGAAATGGGAGTGCATAACAAATACCATGTGGTCTTGTTTATTGAGGACAGAAAAGGATATGCACACCAAAATGTACTGTCAGTTAAAAAAGTTGAAGCAAAGCAGACATGGCCAGATCTATTCTTATTTATTATAAAGTTACATTATGAGAAACAAATCTGAAAGTATACTGAAGCCTCTAATGGTACATGCCAAAATGTACAGTACTATACATAAAAGTGCATTGTCACAACAGCTTAACAGTACTTTTTTGTCATCTTCTTTAAGGACTGTGCAATTGCAACTCGTCTGTTATTTGAAAATGGAAGGAATTACATGAAAATGAAGCAGCACAAGAGCAGCAGAAAATGAGATGGAAATGCAACAATACAAGAGCAAAGCTAAAGCTTCTCTAAAAATGTAAAGGCACTTTCACATGTACATACTTACAGATGTACATTGACACAATTAGGTAACAGTCAACAAGCAGGAAGCTACCAGCACTGCAATCTATCAAACTAACTGTCAAGGACAATACTGATTTGATTAGGTATACAGGCATTTACCCCTTACTATGCCTGTTGTATCAGTCCTTCCTGTTACATATCCACTCACTAAACCTGAAGTAGCAATAATAAACCATCAAACTACACACATTTAACTCATGTGAATGCTCTAGCTGGAAGCATTCACTAAACTCACTGTTTCTAATATTTTTCTTCACTAAACAATTTATAATATAAGCAGTATGGAGGCCAGTGGAGTTTTTCTATGCAGTTTCAAGATACAGGCACCCACCTTAATTATGCCACATGATCTATTAAAAATAAACAAACATGAGTCTGAATGCACTTAGATGAAATCTGGCATGTCAGTTTGTCCCACAGGTTCTTGATTTGGGCAAGTTTAATAAAATAATTCTTAACCTTGCCTGAGTCCGCTGCAATGCTTTACAATGAACAGCAATTACAGTATCTAAGTCCTTTGGACCTTAATTAAGTTTCCAGTGACATCTGAGAGTTGCTCTCTTCATAGTGGCACCTTTGGTGAATAATATGTGTCCATATTTTAGTCTCTGCAGCAAACAGAAAAATTCAATATACTGTATTTTAGTTTAGTGTTCTGTTTCAAACAAAATGATCCAGTATATCTTGTAGTTACCAAGTGGACCCCTTCTTATCCAGGTGGATTGCCAAATTAATGAGTACCATCCATAAAATAATAGTTTCAAATTAAGGTTTGTACAGAGACATTAGCTTCACTATCTGAGAGGGGATCTTGCCTCTAGCCTTGAAGCTTAATAAAAGCCCCTCACCTCCCCATTTGTTTGGACCTCCAATTAAGTTACAAAGAACTAGTGTGGATGTGTGTGGACAGACTGCAAACATCTTTGCATGGCTACTGATATGTCTTCATCATGCCCAAATGTTTTAGTATTCCCACCTAATTATTGTTAGTAAACTGCAAGAAACAGATCAGTCACACTTTATGCTAATAAGCTACAAAGCCCTTACACTATTACACACTAACAATTCTTGTCACAAGACAGCTAGTCTTCCCCTTTTTTTGTGATTTCATCTAATATAAAGGATCTGAACAAAAGCATTCAAATAGAAAAACAAACAAAAATCTCTTCACAGAACAAGGGCACTGAGAAAAAGACCCCTTCTTTGGATCTAGTTTCACATGAATTGATGGATATCTGATGAATTCCTTTCATTTGTCTATGTTCCATTCAAGGTGTTGCAGTCCAGAACTACAACTTATGATTGTACGTAAGTGGTTGCTTGACTAATAATGTATAATGGAGTTTTCTGTGGTCTGGGCAAAGGTAACCTTGTAAAAAACATATAGAGATGATGCAGTTTAATGTTAGTTTGTGCAACACAATTTTACAGTTAGTTTACACCTAACGACAAAGTTGATCCTAGTAATGCAGCACTATGCCAGTTCACAGCTTTCACTCACACGTGCACGCATACAGGATAAAAGATACTGATACTGTCATCTGGACAAAAAGTGATTCTGACATAGTTTATTCATATTTTAGAATAGAAAATGACATCTTTGCCTGTGCACAACCTCTTGCTCAATAAATGGAGCTATTCCAGTTTCAAAATAGATAACATGCTGCTTCAATAAATTCAAGAAACACCACTCTTCCTTCTTCACTCTTCCCATGTTTCATAACCATGAAGATTTAGCAGATTCAAACTAAGTTCTACAACTTATCATTCTCTTTCATACATTCCAGGAATGTTCTGTTATAAATGGTTAGCTAGCTAAAACTTTGTATCTGCAGACATATCCAAACACTTGGCTCATAGGAATGTAAACAATTTTTTGTAGTGAATTGTTTGTGAACAGTTATCTGGAGGTATCAGTGGCTACAAAGAAGAAGAAGAAGAAGCTAGCCTTATTGCAATGCAGTAAGCCTGAGCTACAACTACTAGAAACTATTCACAGTAATTCTAATAACAGGCTTTAACTTTGATTTGGAAAGTTTCCATCTGCATCAGCATGAGAAGTAAATTCATTCCCCATATTCTACCAACAGAGTACTGTACACTAATAACTCCAGCAAGTATATTGAAAAAGATATCAGGGTGACCCTGCTTTCTCTATTCATTTTATCTAGGCTGCTTATTAATTCTCAAGATGGAAACATTCAGCCCTTATAAAAATGTGATTCATACTGGAGCTAGTGATATAGAAGAGAAAACATCTATTTATAAATCCATTTCAAATAACCATCATTGTAATTCCTTATGAAGCCTAAAAGCTACACTCAATGCAATTTCATTGAATTGTGTGGGATGCTGGCAGTGACTTGTGATGCTCTTATTAGAAAAGGTGCTGTGTGGAAGCTTCAAGTAGAAGTGTGTTTTCCTGTCATTTTAAAATTACATACTTAATTGTCCAGTTTAAAAATTGAACTCACGTCAAAATGCCCATGTGAAGGTAGTAAATAGCTTGAGACATTACATTATAAACAGGTAAAAACAAAACCTCTCCCATTATAAACACAAACTAATGATGTGATGGAAACAGATATCCAACGGTGATCCATTATTTTGGTAGTTCACTTCATGCTCGCCACACAAGCTGCCTGGCTTTCACATCGTGCAAGACTTGTCTGCTGGACCTTGGGAAGGAGAGGAAGGGCCTAGGCTTGGGTTTGTTTTTGGAAGAACTATAGGCTTGGGCCTAAGCGCCGGGGGTTTCAGCTGCACTCCCATTCTGGGTGCCACCATAGGCTTGAAGGTACTCATGGCATCACTGGAAGAGCTAGTGCTACGCCGAATCTGAGGCTCAGTGCTTCTTAAGATTATGTTGTGAAGAGGGCTCAAGGATTCTGTCGAGGTGGTGCCAGAGGAAGAATTTTTCATTTGTTCTAAGGTATCCAGCACTACATCCGGCGCATGTTTTGCAGAGCTTTGACGTTCCAGTTCCCGGAGTTCATTCAGAGCTGTGTTCATGGTCTCTTCAATATCCTGTACAGAAGAAGAGGAAGCAGGTCTGCTGTAGATTAATAATGAATACAAAGGATAGCACTAGGGGCATTCAAGCATTGTAACTGTGTCACAAAAGCAAGCACACCTGTTTTAGTAATCAAGCACCAGTAATACTTAGGCATATAAACAGATATAGAGATAGATACTCATGGAATAGAAGAATATTGGCTCCAATCCCCAGTTGGATGTGAACATTCTACTGAAATCAATGGCAAATGTTAGTTGTGACTAAATAACATCCCATTGTTTTCAGTGTTTCTTACAACGGGCAAAATTCTGTTGCCTAGTTACACATGTGGGAGGCAAATGGTATAACACACAGCTGTTTTTCACTGGCAATTAGCAAGTCCCTGATTGGATTTCTGGGCATGCTCCAGTCTCTGGGTTGGCATGCACTCACAAATTTAAGGAATTGCCAGTGAGAAGCCATTGTAAGTTAAAGCTGTTTGCGTTCAGTAGGTGTAACAATGCAACAGAATTTTAGCCAATGAAATCTGATGTGTATCAAACTGCCACTGAATAAACTGGAATTTGCTTATTGGTTAACATAGGGTTGGAACCAAAATGATGTCTAACTTCAATAGAATTGAGGTTCTTAACCAACCACAGTGAGGGAAGAAACCTGAAGCCAACTACTTATAAGTCATTGTAAGAACAGAGATCGATAACAAAAGATACTAAGTTTTCAAATGTAACAGCAAGAGCTATAATTTGTATGGCTTTCTGACTAAATAACATGTACTTGACCAAGGACATGGGAGGGAATCAGTCTATGAGAACTTAGTTGGCTTCGAAAGTTGAAAAAGGCAAATACCCTTGGATAAAATACTATTAGAAACAGATGACAAATTGATTTTAAGAATGTATGAAGTGTTATTAGAAATTAAGATGGAAGATGAAGTGGTAAAAAATTGTATGACCAAATGGGCGCAAAATATAGGGCATAATATTGAAATTGCTGACTGGGAAAAATATGGAAAATTAATATAAAAATTACAAAATCAGTAAGTTTTAAAGAAAACACATATAAAATGTTCTACAGATGGCACATGACACCAGATAAGTTATAAAAAATGTATAAAGGTACATCAAATGTATGTTGGAAATGTAAATTAAAAGAGGGAACCTTCTCGTATATTGTATGTGGTGGACATGTAGAGAAGCAAAAAACTATTGGATACTAACACATAAATGTAGCAAATTCTAATATGTAATATTCAATTTAAACCAGAATTATTTTTATTAAATATGTTGCCAGAGACTTTGGATAGGAGAGAGAGTCATTTGGTAATACATATAATAACTGCAGCCAGAATACTATATGCATGGAAGTGGAAGAAAACCAAAATAACAAACAGTGAAGAATTTACGGAAAATATTATGGAAGTGGCGGAGATGGACATAGTAACAGAAGCTTTAAAAGACAATTCAATCCAAGAAGCAACTGAAAAATGGGACTCTGAAAAACTGGATTCATTCTATAACCTGAAAGCCAAATGTGGTAACTTTAATACAAAATAGTCAAATAATTCTAGTTGGAGGTATCTAAGCAAGTAACAGATACAAAAGTTCTTAATATAATGATATGCGTAAGTACAGATAATATGTGATGGCATGATATATTCCCTGTTATCCCAATTCATTTCCCCTTACCCTGGAAATAATTTTTTTTAAAAAGTTGAAAAAGTTAAGATTTTCTGATTTGTGAAATCAGACCTCAGGAGAATCTCACACAAGACCTAAAGACCAATCATGAAGCAAAGCAAACCAACTTACATGTTCCTGGAAGTAAGAGAACCCCCTGCTGTGACACTCAGACACTTTCCTTAGTTAAGGATTCCCCTCTAAGTCATCACTATCACTAAATCTGATTCTGGCCTTGGTTTAATTTTAGAACTGGCTTTGTTAGGTCAGAATGAATATCACGTGTGTGAGCTATTCAGTCATAATAAGGTGCAAACAATCCAAAGAAGAACAATACTAGATGTTTTCTGATTGTTTGGAGGACAACGGCAATGCATTAGTCAGTGGTTCAAGGGCTTTTTCAGAAATACATGTATATTCAAATCCACATGTTTTTATCCTTAATTCTAGAGTTGTGGGTACGATGAGGATGTGTTGCATAGAACGTATGGAAATAAACAAACATACAAAGCAAAGGCATCTGCCAATCTCACCTGAGCAATTGACTCTGGGTCAAGAGGCTTGTGGTCATTGAAAACGGGGTACTGGCCGGATGAGGTTGATCTTCTGATTGGAGGGCTGTCTGTCTTCTTCAGTGACTCATGTCTACTAATATTAGTGAGGCTGCCATGGCCAGGCCTACGCCTTCTCTCTGGGCTGTCTGCGTTGAGGCTGCGGTTTTGTAGAATAGCTCGAGAAGGGTTGTGGCTTGCTAGACTGGGGGAACCTAATTCTAGTGATGAATTGGCAAGGGTGTGGGGGGGATGAACTGGACAATGTCCATCACTGGTCCTGCCAGGATGTCTGCCAGGTAGTGGGAGTTCAGATCTCTTGCGTTGCCTGAATGGAGACAAAGGCAAAGTAATTGAAAATTAGACAAAAATGGCTAAAGAATTATTGTCACTGAATAATGGAAAAAATGTGTTGGGATGGAGCAGTGCATTGCTAGGAATGTGAACTCTGAAGCAAGTCACAAATTAAAATATGTTGTTACCCATGAACTCTTTAGATGGCTGTTGGCAAGCCATTATTCAGGAAGCATAAACACCTTCCTCCCTCATGCACAATAAAACTGATCTATTTTACCAGTGGTGCAGTGATAATTTCAAAGGGTACCTGCTCATAATGACAGTCCCATGGTCGCAACCCCAATGAGAATCCAAAAACTGCAGGCAGCTGTGTTGATCCATATTGACAATCCAGTTTTAGTAGTTTTTTTATATACACTGCGAGTATGTCTTTTGTAAATCTAATGCACTTGAGCTGTCCATTCAAAATGAAGACACCCTAAAGTACTTTACATAAAAACATAAATAAGTCTAAAAATATATTTGCCCACCTAGCACGAGGAGGACTGCAAATACTCAGAAGGAACAGGAAAGCCTAGTGTTTGTCCCTGTTAATCAAAAAGACCCAGTACTCCAGTGTGCAAGCCACGGCTCCACTATGCCACTGTAATTGATTGTTACCTTACAAGGTTGTTGCAGAGGCTAGTGAGATGCTTTGAAGACTGTCAATTGCAATATAAATATTGTATACCAAGTTTCTGGTTATATTTACCTTCCTAAATATGAATCAGAATGATGATCTGTTGGTGAATTCATATCCTTAGATGAAGATTTGTCCTCTGTTACTGGCCCACTGCTGGCTTCGCTGTCTGCTTTTTGGCTCAGTGTATCTGAGAATGTATCATCCCTGAACAGAAAATATATTATATCAACATACTTGCTATGACCACTCATATTTTGTAACCTGCTCTTCTCTGCATCTCATTTTCAGATGTCACCTTTTATCACCACTATCTTCAAAGACCTTTGGTAGACATGTAATCAAATGTTGGGCAGTATGAGGACTGCTACAAAATGCTTTCTGTGGGAAGAGGAATAAATACATCCTACAAGGGCATCACTTTAGAATACGTTTTTACTTTCAGCATTGTAAATGTCCCCTAAAGGATATTTGGCATTCCAGAAGAAAACTGACAGGGGATTGCATTAAGTAAACAAGTAACACAGCTTCAAATTATCTTATCACCTAATTTTGATATCTTCAGAAGACTGAAAACATCCTTTTCAAAGATAAAGCTGTATTTTATGTAAACAGAACAGGAAAAATGCTATCTTGTGTTTAGGAAAAAATGTGTGAGTTACAAATGACTAAGAATGTTTTATTCAGAAGAGAAAATTGTTTGAATTTAAGACTGAGATTGCAAACTAGTAATTACCACTGTAATACTGGAGTTTGCTCCTCTCCGCCCATCCCTCACAAAGAGAGGGAGAGGAAGAGAGCCCACACACAGGAGACAATAGTACTCAGACACTGCTTCATGTCTGCCAACTACAAATCATCCCATGTTCCCAGCATTTACAAATACCCTTGTACTACCTGGCTTCTTGGGCCCCATCTTAGAAACTCTACCTCTGGCAGGGTGAAACATTTTGCTGCTTAAGCAAATAAGACAATATATCATGACCACCACTTGATCCCAGTTCCACAAACTGCACTGGTAAATGAAGTTTCGTTCAGGAGGGGAAATTGAACAGCAAACTCCACAGCACCAAGTGGCAAAAGGCTACTCTAGGTAGTGCAGGGCCAGTTGTGTAGCACGCAAGCCTTGTGCTCCAACAGACGGAAATGGTCAAGATGCCCAGGACAATGCCCCAGGGCCACCTCTCTTCAGCACTGTTTACCCGAGAGCAGAAACACAGAAGATGCCATCTTCCACAATTAGCAAGTGATAACATTTTCCCTCCAGAGAAATTATGTATGTTTCCTTGACTGACATGAGAAAAAACAAACACTTACTCCTACTTAGATCTTGATGCCCAGTCATAAAACAAAAACAAGCTGAATTGTCATTTATGCAACAAATGAATTCAACCTCTTTAAGGAGCCCCTTTCTAATTATGTATTAACTGTAATGCCTCTTCTGGTTCTAAAAGGCTTATCTTTCTTTATATAATGGTAGGGCTGACTCTGAATCCAGGGCCTGCAGACTTCTTGCCAGCTGATGGGCAGTATTTGAATAGACTGCTCTGATTTACGGTAGGGCAACAGCTTGGCTTTTCATATCGGTAAGCTATGGCTTACATGTCTTGAACCACAATGTACTGGTGGGGTACAAGGCCATCAATTCCATTGTGTCTTCCTTCCCACCAATCATCCGAAGCACGATGATACAAAAGCAAGGAGGCTCCTTTTTTAAAAGAGAGTTCTCGCGCAGATCTTCCAACATAATCAAACTTGGCAATAGCTTCTATAGGTTCACATTCTACAAAGGAAGAAAAAACAGTAAGATTTTAGACCTGGGAAGTAGTTTCCAGTAGCACGGAGAAACAAGCATGAGTTTATACTGAAAATAAGCGAAGGTGAAGAAAGAAAACACAATGATGCAGAAAATGCATCATATTATGAGTGATCTCTGGTGTGCGTGTGTGTGGTCCACTGCTCACAGGGGCAAATAAAGAACCTTGTGTTCACCCAAGAGATGTAGCACTTTTTCCCATCTCCTTACAATACTTTGGGAGACCAGTGCAGAGGTAAAAAAGAAGCCTTTGGATCAGTAACAAAGCTGGATGGATGGAATCTGCAAAGCCTTGGTTAAGTGTATTATTTTGGTGCCAGCTATTTGCACTGAAATATCAAGATCCCTGACACTGCGCTTTTCTGTTCTGCTTTCAGAAGTCAAACTCTGGCCTAAAGTCAGAGTTTAGAAAAGCTGGCGGTGGGTGGGTGAGCTTTGGGATTCTGAGATTGTCATTCAAATAAATACTTTTTTTCAAACCTCTGCTCTTCAACAAACCATGCTATGAACTCCATTTCCAGTTACAGATAATTCTGGTGTCAAGTTACAACAACCTCCTACAGAGACTTGATAAGAGAGGTCTTGTGATCTGTAGTGTGTTCCCCTGTTATGAATGCCCCAGGAAAACAAAGCAGCTGCTTTTCACTAACTTATAATGATAGAATTTCCTTAACTTTTCTGTTCCCTTTTATCTATAAACATATATAGAGAACAGAATACTTCATGGCAATAACAGTATCAAATCACTTTTGTGCAAACTCAACGTTAGCAACGTTTGGGGCTTCCTCAGGAAATGCTTTCTGATTTCCTTTGGAAATGAATTATCATAAACTATTTCATTTGTATCTAACTGCAGCAAAATAAATTGCATAATATTGCAGATACTGCTGGTAAAATGTGTTCTCACACAGTTCTTGGACCAATCTTCTGAAGGTTGTTCCAAGTGAATGCATTCCTAAGGATAATTCCTAGGAGAATAATTTGCCTTGTACTTCAGAGTACAATCATGCTGCATGCAATGCAGTTGCATACTGTCATTTGTGGTCCTGTGGTTCTCTATCCTTCCCTAAAATGTCTAGCATCCAACCTGTGCAACATGATAAATGACAACTGCTATTTAAAGAGGCAATTCCCTTGAAAATATTGGAAAATATTTTAAAAGCAAACAACCCCGGAATATGTAATAAAATTGACCAGAATACTAATGGACAGTCATACTGATGGAAAGAAAACAGAGTAACTCACAGTGGCAAATTGTGACGAATTAATAAGCTCCCCTGAATCCTCATTTTGTACCAGTTGGGTGGCTTGGTGAATGACTGGGAATCCAAATGGGGACTTGTTAATTAACTTGCCACTGTGAACTGCACCATTTACTTTCCACTAGCATACCTACACAAAATGATTCTGACCAACACAACATTTTACTGCACCCTCAAGGCTGCAACATATTATAAGGCCAAACCATCTGTGGTATTCCAGTCTATCACATGGAAAGCTTAAAACAACACTGACATGAAATGTATTTAATGTGCCTGTTCTGGCATTAAACAACAACAGCCTGTTGGATGAGCAGGGACGGCAGTTAAATTCTTCTACCATTGTGGGAACTTCCCAAAAATCCCTCCTCACAGCTTAAAGCTGCTATTTTTCCTGGGAGGGAAGCTTTTGGTTAACAGGGTGAGGTGGAGGAGAAGATTTTGGTGAAAGTAGAAGGAAGGGGTTAGATCCCCTCCCTATATTTTAGTCTCAGTTATACTCCGTCCTCCCAAGGGCCTTGGCGTAACAATTTTACCATGCACAGTTCAAGCTGCATTGAACCCTACTGTTTTGAAGGAAGCCTGAAGTTGTACTTGACCTCAAGCAGTTTAAAAAAAACAATTTATTTACTTTAAAGTCAAATAAGTGAAACTGTTCCAGAAGATTTTCGTTAGTAAGAGAAGACAACATTTTTATTACAGTGATGCCTTGCAAGACGGGCACTCCGTTTAACGACAAATCCGCATTATGACAAGGTTTTTGCGATCGCAAAACGTTTTGAATGGGGGAATTTCACTGTGCAATGATCGGTTCCCTGTTTCGGGAACCGATTTTCGCTTCCCGATGATCAAAACAGCTGATTGTCGGGTTTTCAAAATGGCTGCCGGGTGCTCAAAATGGCTCCCCGCTGTGTTTAGGAGCCATTTTTCACTGCACAGCCACCCGAAAATGGCCACCCCTATGGAGGATCTTCGCTGGACTGTGAGTTCTTAGCCGATTGGAATGCATTAACCAGGTTTTAATGCGTTTGAATGGCTTTTTTATTTTCGCTTTATGACATTTTCGTTCTACAGCGATTTTGCTGGAACGAATTAACGTTGTAATGTGAGGCACCACTGTATATTCATGGGATGCAGCTTCTATATAATGTATGCAAAACACCGACATTGCGCCAAGTGATCCACAGAATATTGAACTTACTAGGTATCATAGTTATCTAGAAGATGCTCTTCACTATGATATGCCAAGCAGGTACCCAAACTGCAACCCAACCTGTTTGATCTAACAGCCAGGGCTGAAAACATACAACCCTTTAAGCAAGCATGAATTCTAGCAATTCAGCTGCGAGAGATTGAATGCAGCCCCTGCTGTTATTTTGACTGTCCCACTAAATTACTGAAGGATACTCTGGGGTTTATATGGCATACAACTGTCTCCAATTGGGGGGAAAGTGTGAACTCTAGGGCATCAACTTTCATCAGCCTTAATAAGCATAATTAATAGTGAGCCTTAATCAGCATAATTAATAGTGATTCTGAAACGTGTAGTCGAAGATGGGGTAGGTCAATGTCCCCCACTCTTGTCTTAAAGAGGTTATAGCTTTCTACACATGCATTGCCTCTTATGAAACAAAAGGCGGTTGGGGCACAATTTTGATCAGGTGTGTGTGTGTGGTTCTAGCAGGTGAAGCTAATCCTTTTAAGAAGATGGCTTATTTTGGTCATGGCGCCTGGAGATCCTGGTGGCATCTTCACCGTCTCTAAATCACAGAGACATCAGTCCTGATGAAGAATGATGGTTAGGCCATTCCCGCTGTTAAGTAGAAGTCTAGCACTGTCTAGTTTGTTGTGACAGCAGAGTCCATAAATAGCATCTTATATAGACTATCATCTTATTAAACTATTGCATTGTGTGAACCAATTGTTTATAGCCCACTTCTTCAGAGTCAACGATTCAAAGTGGTCTGTTAACCATGAGACCAATCCTGGCAAAAACGTTGATCCAGGCCCAGCTGGAAAGCTGCAGAAGACCCAATTCTTCATATCTGCCACCGCCTCTTCCTTCCATTGGTGGTGGAGCCCCTAGTTTGTTGATGGGGCAACAATATCTTTCTTTCTTTCCATGCTATTTATGGGAAGTCCCTTGCCCACTTTCCCATCACTGACAGCAGACTTTTAGAGGATGGAGCAGTGGAAGAACAAAAGAAATCTGCAGCTATCCAAAACCCATCCAAACCTCAGGAACTATGCTAATAGAGATGGTACCCTCAAGAATCTAGTATTTCCCTTTCCCCAAAGAACAGAAGGCAACAAAATGAGCTGTGGTGTTGTGCACAACAACATTTAAAGCGACACTGGGAATGTGACACTTCACCAGAAAGTACTTTCTGCTGAAAATGCAGAATTCTTTTCATTTGACCTTCCTGTAAGTGTGATAATCAGGAAAGATGCAAGGAAACAGCTGGCCAGTGACAGATGAGTGTTAAGAATTACATATACACAAAAGCTTGAATTAAAGCCCATTGTGCCAAAAAGTATTCATTTAAAATGAGGGGAAATGAGAAAAACAGCATTTCCTCTGTGAATTACGTATGCATTTGCTCTAATAGAGGAAGAAGATCGTTACCGACAACTCAAAATGCACATACCATCTTCACTGGTGTGTGGTTCTGTACCAGCATCCAAGTCTACTTCTTCTAGGGTACCGTGTTCACTATAAGGACTATCGCTGCAGAGTTAGAACAGCATGAATTAATATTTTATGGACAGATAGAGAGCAAGCTGTTATATTAATCTGTCACTTTTTCAAACATCTCTTAACATTTCCAGTTAAGGCAAAGTTCTGCTTCTAGCCACTACAGCCAATGGTCAGGCATGATGGAAGGTATACTTCTGGAATATCTGGAGAGCCACAAGCTCCCAATGTCCTCCCAAGTGATGGACTTGGGAGGACATTGTTTAAATGTTTATGTATTTTAAATTTATGTGGCCAATTTATACCAGAAAGAGGTACAACATTGGGATGAGATGTCTCACTAACCAAAGATTGTGATCATCTAATTATAAACTCCACTACTTTATTTTAAATGTCTGGCTTTTGCTTCTGAATAGGCAGGGCTAACTGGCTGGAATCCTCAATTGAAGGGAAAGAATTCATCATGTTTTGCCTTATCTGGAATTGTTTCCTGAAACTGAAGTTCCGTTGAGAATGTACTAATGGTATCTTCAGACAAGTACACAAAAACTGAACTCTGACCTGTGCATCTGATGTACCCTAATTTTTGTCTAATAGAGTAGATAGGAAGGCTGATTGAAAATATCTAGGCCAAACTACACATACGGGTTAGTCACATATTTAAAATAGCCGCCCAGAGTAGACTTCGGTTTAGATGGGCGGGGTATAAATTTAATAAATAAATAAATAAAATAAGAATACTTAATCAGACTGCTTTTATTTTGGAGAAGCAGCAGGAGTAGGGACTGAATTCAGAACACATTCCTGATCCAGATCAAGTTTCCAAAGCTTGATGTGAGCTTAGGGTGGTGATCAGGATGAGGGGTATAATGTTCCAGATTGTATCCTCCTGGCTGTTCTTTCCTCGAAATGAAACATTTCAGGTTAGGCACACTCATTTTCGATCTGTGATTAATATCGATGTGAAGTTTGAGCCAGATTTACAGAAATATGCAGTTTTAAAAACTGGAAGACAAGGGCAAGGCTCTTTACAAGTTAAGAGTCAGGACTCTTTCAGATGGGATAAAACTTTCCCCCCACATCCCAATTCATATTTGTTCACCTTGGAGACGCACCAAGCTTACTGGGATTTGCATCCAAACAGTACTTTAGCAACCCCAACCCCCAAAAAGCTTGAAACTATTTAAAAAATATTAAAAGAACAATCACTTGGCAGCTTTTTTTAAAATGTTCTCTCTGTCATTCACTGCCCCCTTTTCTTTGGTATGTCATTTCTGTGCAAACTGAAAGCTTCTAACTGGGAAGCTGTAACTGAGGAACTGAATGGGAAATTCAACAGCATAAATCCGTTCCCCACAACAACCAAAAGAAGAATATGCTTCAGGAAGGGACAAAAACAATCATACAACATCACTGATTGGGTCATGAAGAAGCCTAACATCATTTAAATGTTGGGAAAATTACCTATGTCAGCAGTGATTAATCAATCTCTACTTTCCAGAGAATACACCATCTGAAAGATCCCTTAGTCCGAGAAAAGCAGGGCAAGCTCATTTGGCTTAAAGACTGAAAAACTTACCAGTACTCATCGCCAGCCATACATTTTTCATATACTGGCCCATCAAGGTCCTTTGTGTCTGGGAAAATGATCTCATGGTGAATAATAATAGTTTTGATTATTTCATTCACATGAGCCTGGCATGACACTTGTTCTTGTATGTCTGGAACTGGCATCAATGTTGGGCCAAAACAAATGGCCAGGTTATAAGGATCCATCATATTTTCATCACTGTACTGTGAAAGGCTGTTTTTATAAAAGATTTAAAAGAATAAATGAGGTGTTTTTTTTGGTGTGTGTGTCCTTCTCCAGTTTTCTCAAATAAATTATTATACATAACACTTTCTACACAATAGGAGCTGAAAACACATTTTTCTAAGTCATGATACAGCTGACTCACTGTGTTGTTTAATCTTGCACTAAATACCTTAAAAAGCAATTTAACTCGGGCATCTTCTCCTAACTGACAAAGGTGAAAAGATATATGGGTTACATGTTTTGAACACAGTGATCTATAGCAATGCTATATTTGGGAAATGTATCTAGAGTAGGAGACCAACTTTGAGAGTATTCAGCATAGATGAGGAAAGATAATAAAGGACTTGAACTGCAGGAAAAAGATTGAAGCAGGGAATTGGAAGTCTTCAAATATGTCAGAGGCTTACACAAATATTGAAATGGAGAGTTTATTTTCCTTAGACCTTAAGAGGCGTAGGGGAGGCTATGAGCTTTTAGCTGCAAACATTTGGGTGAACATTACAGGTCACTCCAAGGACAATTATACTGTATTTCTATTAACTCACAATAACTATATCATTCCATGATACAGAAATCATGTTAAGTTTTTATTATTATTTTAACACAAATGCTTTTGTGTCCTATTCTCTCCCTAGCATCCCATACTGCACACTCATGTTCCACCACACATTAACCTTATGGACCCTGTTAACCTTTACTCTCTTTGCCTCAGGTTGCAATTCCTCTTTCCCATCTTTATCCCTCCCCCAACAGTATGATCCTTCTCTGCACTTTTCCTGCATCTTCATCTCCATTTTCCTTACCTACATTCTCCCCCCCTTCCCCCCCTCTTATCCATTCACAGTTTACTTCTCTTTCTGCATCACGGGAGGTGCTCGCTAATCGCCTATGTTTCCAATCCTTTCCTCCAAAGGCTTCCATATTCATTCCTGAAAAATCAGCAGGTGGATGCTATCTTAAGAATGAAGCCCTCTACATAACTGAAACTTTTTGAAGCAGGTTGACAGTTGTTTGTGCCAGACAGGATTTCTTCTAAGTGTGTTCTATAATTGGACAAGAATTGTCATATTCCGCTGCTGCGGAAGACCAGGGGTTGAAATGCATTCAGCTGGTGTATGATTTTATGATCTAATCATCCTGCATTAGCTATTTTGGGAAAGACATTGAGAGCAAATGTGAACTGGTGTGTTGCCAACTCATGTCTCACACTGGTGCCCCCAGTAATTTCTCCTCTTGCAAACTTCCTCCAGCTCAGCTGCTTTTCTGGATTACAACTGCCAGAATCTCTCAGATAGCATGGCCTGTCTGCATCAATTCCTGCTTTCCAGGAGTGGAGTTAGTCATTCCAGCCTCTGTCAGAATTTGACTTTGAGACATATCCTTTTTCTTGGCAGGAATGTCTGAACTAAACAAGTTATTTTTTTAAACGGTACTGTAACTGACTCCATGCTTATAATATGAGGGAGTGAACAATGGAATAGGAAGTTAACAAACTTACTGACTGAGGAAAGCAAAGAGGTATCTCAGGACTATGAGGACTGATCTGGGCAAAGTCAGGAGGAGTTTGCGTATGTGAAGAGCTCTCTCATAGAGATTTTCTATTCCTGCAATACAGAAACAGAGAAGGTAGGTAGCATATGAGGGTAAAGAATATAAAGCAGTATAAAATAGGCAGCTGAATTCTTTCTAATGTTTCCAGTCAATATTACCTATATAGTCAAACTCTAGCTCATAATGAATGGCTTTTAAACTTTTTCACAGCCTGTCTTCACCTCTGAAGAAGGCTTTAACACTCCACATCCTGCTGTAGTCCCTATCCTGATCAAGGCTCCTACTCACCTTGCTGTACATTGCAAAAAAAGAGATCCTATAATGCATGCTACAGTACGCTCCCAGTCAAGCCAGCTGTCACCCTGCCTATATTTGTACATATGACTTGTGCTGCCTGAATGCACAACTTCATATTTTTCTCACTGAATCTCAAATTGTTGGCCCAGTTCTCCATTGTTGAGGTCATATTGAAACTCACTTCTGCTTTAGTCTGAGGTATAGTTGCTTCTTCCAGTTTGGTCTTATCTGCAAATTTCATGAGCATTCGCTCCACAACCTCATCCAAGTCATAGAAATACCGAAAAAGGGCAGATTGCTGCAACATCCCCCCTTGCCACTATCCTCCAGTATGATAAGGAGCTGTTGATTAGCACTCTTTGGGTACAACCCACCCACCAGTCACAAATCCACCTAAGAGTAGAAACACCTTGCCCATATTTTATCAGCTTGGCCACAAGAATAATGCAATATATTTTGTCAAAAGCCTTATTGTAATCTAGATACATGACATCGACAGCATACACATCTACCAAACTTGTCACAGTATCAAAAAAGAGAAATGAGTTTAGTATGACTTGTTTTTAAGAGACCATATTAGGTCTTAGTAATCACTGCATTCTTTTCTAAATATTCACTGACTGGCTGTCTAGAATCTTTAGTGTATACATAATCATTAACTAACCATTAAATACTACTCTCTCCCTCTCTCTCTCTTTCTCTCTCTGAATAAAGCACATCCACTATATGAATATAGGTCATACACTATTCACAAACAGAACAAATAATACCTATGTAATACTGCATCAACTGACTAAAGTATGCTGCTTAAAAGTGTGCTGTTTATATACCACCCCATAGTGCTTCAAGCATTCTCTGGGTGGTTTACAAGTTAATTATGCAGGTTACACATTGCCTCCCCCCCACCCCGTGAGCTGGGTACTCATTTTACCGACCTCAGAAGGATAGTTGAGTCAACTTTGAGACGGCTACCTGGGATTGAACCCTGGGTCATGAGCACAGACTAGACAGGGAATACTCTCTTCTGCAGACTCTACTACAGATCTTACTAGAGGTTATGTGCTCTGAAGTTGTTTCGAACTTACACTGACCCTATGAACAACTTCCAAAATGTACTATAGTTAACAGCCATCCTACAGATTCACAGCTGGGGTTTTTGTAATGTGTCAATCCATATCTCATTCTAGGCCTTCCCATTTTCCTACTCTCAGTAGAAAAAGGTAGGGTATTTAAATATACCCTCTGGTATCTCCAAGAAATATATTCAATCTATAAAGACTTAAATTGCATACTGTTCATTCTGAATGAAAAGATAGGATCAGGAAACATGTTTGAGTAACATGGAATCTATGTATATAACTATTATAACAAATTATCTTAGGGAAATATATGCATACATCTGGTTTTCTGAGCAGCTACTACACTTTTTAAAAGAATAACTCATGGACTATAAAAAATCAACTTACTGACACAAGAAATAAGATCATTAAATCTTTCCTTAGGAAAGACAGGGTTCTCCAGCCCGCGGAAATAGAGCTTCAGTACACCAGCAACTGAGTTAATGTCATGGTTACTTTGGTCATCTGCCAAAGGGTTTTCACCTACAAAGATAAAACAAATTAAATACTTAAAAAAAGAAAAAAGAAAAAGGAGGACATAGGATCCTGAATGGTAGTAAATAAATAAGGACTAATACACCCAATCTGCAATTAAACAAATGTTATAAATAAACTTTCTTCTTGGTCATGTAACCTAGTCATGACTTAAGTCAGAGGTGGGAACTGTGTGGCCCTCAAGTAACATGCAGCCCACCAAGGCCTTTTGTGCAGATCCTGAAGCCCCAAGTGCTACATCTGCCCACCAGAGTCCATTTTGTTGTTGTTGGGGAGGGGACAGGTGTGGTTCCAGACTCTCTGCAGTTCTCCCTTGGCCTCAATTCAGAAAGAATATACGTACTGTATTGAGATAGATGTGCAAAAATGCTGAAACCCTCTTGCATAGTTGTGTGACTTTTAGAGGCAAATTACCCCAAATCAAGCCAATGCTGTAGACATTATAAACTGCATGCTGAGTCACACAACTCAGCATGCAACTGAAAATGTCTATGTTGATTTTTTTTTAAGCTTAAGGCAATTTGCTTCCCAAAGTCATGCCACAGTAGGGAAGATAATTTGGGCCACCAAATTCATTTGACCCACTTGCAAACTAAATGTATCTATTTCATAATGGCCCAGTTGAACCAAGTTTAGGTATTCTTTGGAAAAATTGTTAAGAGGAATATAGCATTAATTAAACAAATTTTACAACATTTTTAGTCAAGTCACATACTAAACAAATAAAGATATTTTTCAAGCTGCACATCTTTCTTTGAACTGAGTAAGTAATTAAAGAGATTTAAAGAGCACATGTGCTGCTGTGTATTGCAATTATAAAGAACAGATTCTAAATGCCAAATCACAGGGGGAAAGATTAGGATTTTAAAGACTATATACATGTACTGAAAAGAGCACTAGCAGCAGATTAAAGGGTTATTCATAGGTTATCTGTCTCCATTTTAACTAGTGAACTGATACATCAACTAGCCAAAGTAAGAGTTTTACTGTTTCACTGTAAATGATATTTAATGAAGACAACAATTTGTTTTCTCTCAATAATCTGGGCAATGTGTCCTTTAGAAAATATTTTTTAATGTGTCAAGTGAATCACAGCAAGTGGTTTGAGTTACAAAATGGTTTGTACCACACAAACGTAACATAATGAAATTGACTGATTAACTCAACCAAAGTCCTATGTAGTCCAGGATCCTTTTCTCACAGTGTGCAAGCAGATGCTTGTGGATACCCACGTGCAGGTAATGAATGCAATATCTCACTCTTGCTATTGTTTCATACAGAGAGGCATGCTGCACAAAGTCATGATGATGCTTATGACCTAGTACAGTCAACACTCGACTTACGACCTTAATCTGTTCCGGAGGGAAGTTTGTAAGTCGAAAAATTTGTAAATCGAATCAGCATTTCCCATAGGAATGCACTGAAAACCAATTAATTTGTTCCGCCTGTTTTTGGTTCTTAGGTTGAGGGGCAGTTTGTAAGTCGAAACATTAGTTCCCATAGGAACTAATGGAAAGCCAGTTAATCTGTTCCTACCACTAGGGGCAGAATTTTTCTTTTTTTTAAACCTAAGATTTGCCCAAGCACTGTTTAACCCAAATAAAGCACCTTTTAACCCAAACAAAGCATCTTTTAAACTAAATTTTACATTTAAAAAGACAATACCAGGCAGTCCCAGGTCTCTCTTCCCACTCTCTAACCGCTTGGATGAGCGAGCAAGCAGACAAGCAGCCTCTTCGCTAACTGAAAGTTCAAATTTCCCTCTTTCCCTGCCTTCCACGCTCTTTTTTCCGTTTGTAACTCAAATCCAAGTTCGCAAGTCGAGTCCATATTTTCCTATCAGAGCGGTTCGTAAGTCGAAATGTCTGTAACTAGGGCCGTTTGAAAGTCAGGGGTTGACTGTAATAGTTTTATCCTCCATGCATTTGTATACTTAAAAAACACATATACACTGATGACCATCACCCTAGCTTGTAAGTACCATTTCCCATAGTTTAACTATGCACTGTTTAATTACTTCCTTTTATCTTTACTCTACCATTTACCTTCATTTGATGATTCATGGGCTTATGTAATATAAGAAAAAGAGAAAAACATATTTCCATACAGTATCCCCATACAATTTTACAAACCTATATCTTGTTCCCCATTGCTCTAAATTAGAAGCCTCAAAAACAAATGTCTGGGAATTGTTCCAGCCCTTTGGCCATTTTGCTCACTCTTTTTCTGTGCCTTCTACATAATATCCTTCCTAGATATTAATATCCATAATATCCTTCCTGGAGATGTGGCCAACTGAAATTTGTACACAGAAATGGAAGAGTGGCTTCTCACAGACTTGTTAAATAGGCACGTACTGTCAGCCATTTTATTTTGGATCTCCTTCAAACTGAGCCTTTTAACACACAATATAATGTTTCAAAGTGAATTGTTTAATTTTGAAATTAGGTATTGGCCTATATGGTTGAAAGGAGATGTAACTGCACAAGTGAGTAAATAAGTGAGTGTGAAGTGAAAGAGTTAAAAGAAACACTGCTAAAAAACCACAAGGTAATAGAGTAAGTATGTTTTCCACCAAACACATTAACTGCAAAGACAAATCTGTTCTACATATATGTGTTCCCATCTGTTTGATTTTTGTGCTCTGGTGTTGAACAGCTTAACAGAATTTTTTATAACCTGCTCTTACATTTTATTTAAAGAACTGGCTTTTCTCCATGGATCTATTTAATGAAGAAACAATCTGTAAATGTCTGGCTGCAAATTAAAAAGTAGTCAGCAAGATCCCAAAGGAGGGCAGGGATGTGTGTTTATAGCTGCTATTCTTTTCAGAAATGATTGTACCTAGTTTTATCTGAATCTGAGGTAATTGCTGGCTGAGTATCAAATCCTGACCTGGATACACACTAACATTGCAGCATTCATATTCTCAATGCCTTTCACAAGCAATTTTTAAACAGCAGGTGTGTCCTCAGAAAATCATAACAAACAAATGTTGCTTTACATTACATAAAAGCAGAACACTTTTATCAAAGTTCACAGAATTCAAAAGTCAATGTCAGAATTAACAGTCAAAGTCAGAATTCACACCTCTTCAGAAAGTCACTAGATAGAAATGTGCAAAGGGTCACAGCTAATATACTTCCTCTCTGTGTATGTTCAATGTATGTGGTTGTGGCAGGTTAGCTGCAGATGTTATTGGGAGATACAGATAGTCTGGATCCATTACAATTGGAGTTCAGGCTATGCCATAGGAGTGAGGCATAGTTACTCAGTTTGATAACTATTCTGGTTACTCAGTTTGATAACCTGTTAAGGGAGGCCGACTAGGATAGTGTGACCTTGTTGGTCCTCCTTCACTTTTCAACGGCTCTCAATACTGGAGTGAAAGGGCCTTTTTGGCAACTGCCCCCAGACTATGGAATGCCCTCCCAACTGAGATTCGTCTGGCGCCAACGCTGATGACATTTCGGCACCAGGTCAAAACCTTCCTGTTCCAGAAGGCTTTTAACTGAAATAATATCAGCTGTGGGTGTGATGGCAATTTTTAGAATATATATTTTAATTGCATTTTAATTATTTTGCCTTTTTATTTTGCCTTTTTATTGTATTTTAAATGCTGTAAGCCTCCCAGAGACCTTCGGGTAGTGTGGGCGGCATATAAGTTAAACAAACAAACAAACAAACAAACATACAAACAAATATTGTCACCCATGATATCCTCCAGGAAAGCCTGTCAAGTTTAGGGGTTGGGAGTTCAGCATTATTCTAGCTCTGATCCTTCCTTGATATCCATGTCCAGAGGGTTCAGTATGTTTTGACCATGGGGGATTATATGTTGTGGACTCCCACAGGGAGTGATCATCTCCCCAATGCTCTTTAACATCTTTAGAAGTCTGTTGGAATAGGTCATCTAGAGATTTGCAGTTTGCTGTCATCAGTATGCTGATACAACTTTATCTCTTCCTTTTATGGAAACTATTCAGACCCTGGAGTGGTGCTTGACCTCGAATATTGACTGGATGAGGGCTAACAGATTGAAGCTGAATCCAGACAAGATTGAGATCATGCTGGTCTGAGGGGAAGCTGGCTAGAGGGATTCTGTCTGGTCTGGATGGGGGTCACTCTCCCCTTAAATGATCAGGTCAGTGACTTAGAGGTGCTTCTGGGTTAGGCACTCTCCATGGAGAAGCAAAATTATGCTGTGGCCAGGTCTGCCTCTTTCCATTTCCAGCAGATTGCACACTTACAGCCCTTCCTGGACAGAAAACACCTGATCACAGCGTCCCATGTGTTGGTAATCTCTAGGACCAATTACCGCAATGCTGTCTATGTGGGGCTGCCTTTGAAAGTGATATAGAAGCTACTGAATGTGCAAAATGCAGCAGCTAGGTAAATGTCAGGAGCTTGGAGATACAGCCACAACTCCGTGTTTCTAGTGCATCAGCACTGGCTCCCTGTTTGTTTCCGTGCCAAAATCAAAGTGCTAGTAATAACTTATAAAGCCCTTAATGATTTGGGACCTCTACTTGTTCCAGAGTGTCCCTCTCTCAGATCATCTACCCAGGCTGGTTTTTGCAGGCTTCACAGTTATGAGTGGTCACTCCAAGAGAAGCCCAGATAAACACTACAAGAAACTGGGCTTTTTTGGTGGTGGCTGCAACACTGTGGAACATGTTGCATGCCGATATATGCCAGTCTCTTTCCCTCTTGACCTTCACAAGACATGTGAAATCTGAGATTTTAAGGAGGCCTTTAGAATTATCTTCCTCCTATTATTCCCCCCCGTCCCATACGATTGTTTTTGAATTAAGTTTGCTGTCACAGTTGGTTTTGGGGGTGTTTTCACGATTTGGGTATTCTCTGTTGCTGGATGGGTGTATGTGTATTTGTTTGCTGTTAGAGGCCCAGAGTAATGGCTTGCCACTCGATGGGCAGAATATAAATGTAGACATACATACATACATACATACATACATACATACATACATACCTACATACATACATACATACATACATACATACATACATACATATATACATGGATAGGGGTATAATCTAATTGCTGCTATGCCAGTATCAGTGAGCAGCTAGGTTAGAAGAGGTAAGATCCATACCATATACCGAGGATGGAGGAATTTGGCTTTCTAGACATTTTTGACCTAAAAGAACTTGTCAGCTTGACTAATGGTAAGAGATTATAAGGGTTATGGTTCAAAACACGGGTGAGGGGAAAATTTCTCCAGCACTGGATTAAAGAAATTCTTTCCCACGTTTCGTCATTACAATGAATTGTAGTTATTTTGAAACTGAGAGTGCACCCATTCAATTCCCTCTCTGGGTACACAAGGGAGGAGGAGGGTTACAAAATCCTATTTATGTAGTGAGAAACCACTGTTCTTTATTTCTTTGTTTTATTTATATGCTGCCTTTCTCCTGATAAGGGGACTCAAGGCATCTGTTGCCTGTTAAATCTGAATAATTCAATGCAATAATCTTTTGTTATATTATGTTTGCAGGCCACACTGTGGTGCATGTTGGGAAAAATAAGCTGTCCAGAAACACTAAAAGGAAGTCCAGACAATGGCTTCAGCTGGCTCCTAAGGTGTTGATTTAATGTTAGAAGTGACAAATGATGAACCCATGTATGGTTTGCACTGATTTCCTGGAAACATACATGTCATTCTAAGAAACTGCAGCATTAGCACAGCTGACACATTCCACACAAGGTCAGATACACAGAATCCTGTGCAGCAAGACACTGTATGTATCCCTTGAAACTTAATTATTAAGTTTCAAGGAATGGAAGCATTTCACTATTAAAAGGTTTAGAATGCCAGAGCTAATGTTACTGAAACAGATTTGTTTCCATAAGCTTTTGTGAACCGAAATCCAAAATACAATTATACATGCATGGGGGAATATATAATCACCTCGCTCAAATGAATTTTTAATATCATTGACTTCCACCTGGGAACCAGAAACTCTGAAAATACCCTGATGCTGAAGACCTGAAAAATAAGAGTGATAAATATGTGAAATTAGCTATTAAGAGTCGAGTCTATTGCAAATGACAAATAATTATTAACCTGTTATTTATTCATTTACTGTATATCTTATTGTCAGGTGTTAGCTGGAGGATCCTAAAATCAGTTTACAGCTTTTTGACACACAGTTGTAACTAGATTTTGACACCAGGTTCCCTCCAACCAAAAGCTCTTCACCTACTCCTCCCTGCAACATTCTTCTGCACATTCATTGCTTGTCCAATCACCGCATATTCCATTTAACTCCATTTCACTTATCACTGTTGTATTAAGCTAATCCTGCTGCCTTTCAGCGAGTGCTCATTGGAAGGACAGATCCTGAAGCTGAGGCTCCAGTACTTTGGCCATCTCATGAGAAGAGAAGACTCCTTGGAAAAGACTTTGATGTTGGGAAAGTGTGAAGGCAAGAGGAGAAGGGGATGACCGAGGATGAGATGGTTGGACAGTGTCATCGAAGCAACCAACATGAATTTGACACAACTCCGGGAGGCGGTGGAAGATAGGAGGGCCTGGCGTGCTCTGGTCCATGGGGTCACGAAGAGTCGGACACGACTAAATGACTGAACAAACAAACAAAGCTGCCTTTCAGTGTGCCCCCTCTGTTCTACACATTACATTATTTTTCAAGACACTCCTTTTTTCCTTTGGTTGATCTTCCTCGTTGACTGCAATGAGGCTCCTTAGTTCAACATTAAAGCTTCATTAACTTCTCCTGCTATTATTAGAAAGTGATTCAAACATTTAGAAAAAGCACAATAATTACTGACCACAATAATGGAAAGACAACAATAACAATTAAGATTAAGTTAAATGGCATCTAGGAACTCACCATACAAGTTGATAAATCGGATGCAGCTTTCTACTATGAGGGGGATCGCCTGCCCTGAGTCCTGGTGGGAAACAAAATCACCCAAAATATACCACAAGTACTACAAGAGAGGTTATTTCTGCAAAGAGGAATTAATTATCATTAAGGATTAACATTCCTACAGCCTCAAACCGATGATGGTCTGTAAATTTAAGTGTTGCTCAATCAAATTTGACCAAACTCCGGGAGGCAGTGGGAGACAGGAGGGCCTGGCGTGCTCTGGTCCATGGGGTCACGAGGAGTCGGACAGAACTTAATGACTAGACAACAACAACAAAATCAAATGTGCATCAGTAATGCACTTTGAATGTCAAAGTGCCTACCTAAAATAAGTCTTCTTCAATATTGTCAGGAAACAAACAAGAATGCACAGCTTACATAGCACATGCATAGTATATTTCTACAAGGGACATATCATCTGTAAAAACATGGCAATCTGCTTGCTAATAATGACAATGAAGCCACACTGAACATAATTAATTCTGCTATAGCAGATAAAGTACAATGACTACAGTCTCTTTCAGCTGCAACAGTCTTGGTCAAATAAACCATAATACTGTTCCTGCATTTATCTGTCCTTTCTCAAGTCTGAAACCCTTACAACATAACAAGTAAAATAGCTGAGACATATAATATACTGATGACATGTTAAATCTGCAGTGCACGTAAAGCAGCTAGAAACGCTACTGTTTGCACTATTTAATTATTTATTTATTTGGTTTATATATCACCCACCAAACAATCATTACTCTTGGTGGTGTGCAACAAAAGATAAAAAGAAACATAAAATAAAATTAACATAAAACAATCAACTATCACAAAAGCACACAAGACAAGGCAGGTGGCTAGCAGCAATTTTGGGACATCTTCTTGGTGGTGTGCAACAAAAGATACAAAAAACATAAAATATAATTAACATAAAACAATCAAGTATCACAAAAGCACACAAGACAAAGCAGGTGGCTAGCAGCAATTTTGGGACATCCAACAAAACAAAATTACAGGCTAAAATAGATGTGTTTCACACATACTACATCCTAATGTTTGTTATAATTCTGAGATTTCAACTTCAATGCAAGAGGGACAGATTAATTAATCAATTAAGTGCTCTCAAGTCAATTCCAACTTAACGTAACTCTTGCCGTGTATACAGTATTAAGATGTGCTTCATCACTCCACTCTACTACTTCTGATGATGCTTTAGGACTGTGCAGTTTGCTCAAGGTTATAAAGGTTAGCTCTTCCCCCAGGAGGTGCAGTTGTGAAACAAACTGCAATTCCCTGATATTCCAGTTCACTGAGATATACAGCTAGCTAGCTAGAATAAATATAAATCCTGTGTACTGCAAACTAACCAAATTCCTTTCTCCATGATGGAGAGAGAGACACAGGGATCTAGAGTGGAAGACAATTCTCTGTACGAGAAGTAATCTTGCTATTGCACTTTTTTCTGTTAATGGAGGCCAAGTCACTGAGTGAGAAGGGTAAGCAGAAGATTTTGTCTTGCAAGTGCATTGCCTTACTGTGAAGAAAAAACTGCTATTCCGAAAATGACAAATAAAGCCCTGTATTATGGGAAGTGTTTGAGCATCTGTAAAGTGGTGCTGTGGGGAGATATGCTGCCTATACATCTTTCACTGGATATAGTGGATTCCTTTAATGTAAGATAAGCAGCCTGAATCTAAATCTAAAACTTCAGTAGAAAAATGCCAGAAAATGGTGGCATGCCTCTATCATTTCTGAATGCAAATTGTCCCCAACATACAAGAGGCAACACAAAAGACAGACAAAACAAATGAAGCACCTTCAACTCAGTACATGATACCTGATGCCTTGTGTGTGAGTTCCTTCGTCCTCGACTATAAGTGTTATTTGGAAAGAAAGTACAGAAAAAAACAGGATGGATTTTAGCAGAGAAGACTTAAAATTCAGAATAAATGTACATGTAATACAAGGAATTTCTAAAGTCATAGAGAAACATAGAGAACCTTACATTTTCAGAACCAATATAATAGAATATTTTAGTAGCAGCGGCCTAGTGAATTCACACAAAAACTGCCAGGCTACCAACATGGAAGTTTGCCTTTTTTAATGGACTGAAAACATGTATCAACCCAAAATCTAGCTATTGCTTGAATCATTGTGTATATTTCAAACTTAGAAATAACTAAGTACTTACAAATGGCCAGGAGCTTATAATAAATTCACATTTGCAAGAATGAAAGCATAACGAAATTATTCAAGCTTTTTTCAGCTGTTAAGGCTGAAAGTGTGTAGGACTCAAAAGGTGGTGGCAGCATGATGATGCAGATAACTCCTGCCTTGCTCCACTTTCACACCAATCACACTAAGGTCTGTGGGAATATCAGGTGGGGTGGGACATGGAGAGTGGGTTTTATGTGCATGCCTCCATCCCTGCCACCTTTTGAGCCCTACAGCCTTTCAGAATGAATAATCAGCATTAAGTCACACCTGGAAAAGTTGATTAATTTTTAAAAAAGTAATTGTTCATATTAATGTGTGAATGTGTTCATATATAATATTCTTTTTTTTTCCTTTCTGAATTCTAATAAGTTTTCTATTGATCAAGAAGGAAGGAAAATCCCTAGAACATGCATGAACACAGTGACCTGCTTTGGCCATTGTAATAAGAAATGTTGAGACCATCAACTCAGATGGACAGGACCAGAATCTTGAGAAACAATTTGAAATAATAGTTCTCAGTTTGGTTCAGATCAAGCTATAAACATTTCCTGTTTTTAGCATTTAGAAGAAAGATCCTGGAGTTTTAGGGAGGGTAATATTCAAACAGAAGGCAGAAGGGGAGGACTAAGGAGCTTCATAAGGTTTTAAGTATCAGTGTTCAGGAACAAAGTAATTAATCAGTTTCATAATATACACATTTCCAAAATGCAATCAAGGTTTTAGTATGTGTTATTTTCTTTCAAAAATTATACGTCTTCTGAACAGAATAACTTATTTTATGAACTGATATTGTGAAATATGTTTATCAGTATATAGAACACACAGAAAGAATGTGTTACAGGACATTAGAGAAAGTGGAGTGTTGTATCAAATATAGCAATACTCCAGAATTTCTTTTGGAATCTCAATTTTGTTTCCTGAAAACCTTTGTTAGATTGCAAAAAATGAAGCCAGTTCAACAGCTGTCTTTAAACATGGAATTCCAAGGAGATGCTAACTATGTGAACTGGATCTATTGTGTGTAGATTTAATAAAATAACATATTTAAATTCTGATGACCACAGACCAGAGAATTTTAATAAAGCAAAACACAGCATACTTCTGTCCACCTATATGAAGGCTGTGAAGTACAGCTTTGAATCCCAGCCCCCAAACCACCACCCTGTGCAGTTCTTGCCCAGAAAGATCTGCTCATGTCAAGTACACAACTGCAGGACCAGTAAACCTTAAATAGCTGATATGTCCCATCACCATCTCACTACTGTTCTTCTCATCCTATTGTTCTGTTTCTTAGGTACGAGGTCTGAAGTTTAACTTCACCTGAGCCTAACAATATTTCAAGCAGACACAGGCTATTGATTGGCTGATTGATTGATAGCCCATTTAGACAACGTCTACTCTGGGCGGCTTACAGTAAATAGCATAAAAACAGTTAATACAACAATTTAAACAACAACAATAATATCATTCAAGATGGGAAGATAAAACTTAAATGAAAAAATAAAGACAGAAAAGAAAAATAAAGAAGTAAAGATCAAGTAGTGACAGGAGGGAAGGCCTGCCTAAAGAGCCAGGTCTTAAATTGGCTCTTAAAAACACCCAGTGAGGGAGCCAGGCAAATCTCTGACGGGAGACTATTGCGGAGTTGAAGGGCCACTGCCGAGAAAGCCCAGTTTCTTCTTCTTTCTTTCCAGGCCTCCCTCGGCATTAGGCCCCTCAGCCATCTTTCCTGGCTATAATGAGTGATTCGAGCAGATCTAGGTGGGAGAAGGCTAGGTATCGAGGCCCTTAACTGTTTAGAGCTTTGTATGTCATCATTAACACTTTGAAATCAATGTGGAAATGAATGGGCAGCCAATGCAAGGCAGCCAGTGTGGGTGAGATATGCTGATGTTTCCTCATCCCACTGAGAAGTCTGGCCACCACATTCTGCACCATTTGAAACTTCCTCATCAATCTCAAAGGTAGCTCCATGTAGAGTGCATTGCAGTGGTCTAATCTCGAGATTACAAGCGCATGGACCAAAGTGGTAAGTGCCCCACCATCAAGATAGGGATGCAGCTGGGCAATCCGCCACAGATGGAAGGAGGCGGAGCGGAGCACTGACGCCACCTGGGTTTCCATGGTGAGCACTGGATCCAGATGGACCCCCAAGCTGTGAACCTCACTCTTTGTGGTGAGAGTCACCCCCCCAAAGAGAGAGGGAGCTTCCCAAACCACCAATGGAGGGGCTGCTCACCCTCAGGACCTCCGTCTTGTCTGGGTTCAGCCTCAGTCCATTCACCTACACACACTGCAGTACAACCTCCAGATAGCGCTGAAGGGACAGAACGGCATCCACTGAGGTAGGTGAAAAGGAGATGTACAGTGTACTGATGGCACGAGGCCCCACATGACCTGATGACCCTACCCAGTGGCCTCATATAGATATTAAACAACATTGGGGAGATGATCGAGCCCTGCGGAACCCCACAGTTGAGACTCCACGGGGCCGAAACACCCTCCCCAATCTGTACCCTCTGACGATGGTCATCCAAGAAGGAATGGAGCCAGGCAAGCATCAGTCCACCGATTCCTAACTTGGAGAGTCTCCTCAGGAGGATACAATCGTTGACGGTATCAAAGGCTGCTGAGATATCAAGGAGGACCAACAAGGACATTTTGCCCCCATCAGCCTCCCCCCAACAGTGCGACCAATGCCGTTTATGTACCATGATGCGGCCTGAAGCCCGACTGGAACAGATCCAGGGCATTGGTTTCATCCAATAGAGCCTATGCTCAATGGCCTTAACCAAGGAGGCTGGCTTCCGTTGACTGTATCAAAGGCTGCTAAGATATCAAGGAGGACCAACAAGGACATTTTGCCCCCATCAGCCTCCCTCCAACAGTGCGACCAATGCCGTTTATGTACCATGATGCGGCCTGAAGCCCGACTGGAACAGATCCAGGGCATTGGTTTCATCCAATAGAGCCTATGCTCAATGGCCTTAACCAAGGAGGCTGGCTTCCTTTCTTACAATACATTTTCCACAGATCTATGGCTGGCTGAGGACATCAAATGTATATGGTAAGCCATGAAGCCAGGGGAGTCCATGTGTGGCATCTGCGCTGGAAAGAATGATTTACATATTATCACAGGCTATATTTTTTCTAACCTGTCAACTTTATTACATTCATAGCTCTCTACAGTGTAAACCATTGTAAATCATGTCAATGTCTTACCTTGTAGTCATATATTCTGCTCTGTGACCTAAGGGATCAAGGAGTAAAAATGTAAAAACAGATGGAACTGAAAGTGGTTTCCCTTTATATTCTATTATTTATTTATTTATTTATTGAATTTATATGCCGCCCACTCTACCCAGAGGTCTTTGGGCGGCTTACAATAATTAAAATTCAATATGCACAACAACAACAAAAACCATATTCAATCTTAATTTAATTCTAACTACAAATTTTCATCTTTTTTTGCAATATTTATGCTTGGATACTGAGGGGAATGGTTAACATTTCCAAAGTATGTTTTAAAATATTCAGAAGGCAAGGCTAGAACAAAGTGGGTCTTCTAAAGCGTCTCTCTTATAGGAGTAAATAGGTTTTATACTGTACATTGAGCAAAACAAACTTCATTTCGTTTTCCTATTCTGGCCTTGCACATTTTAATGAGCTATCCAAATTTTAAATAACATGTAAAGCTTGCCAGGCATATTGCCATAAGTCACGAAGTAAAAAATGCATACTTGTTAGATGTAGCTGTAGCTAGGGAAGTAAATATTTAATAACTGTTACGCAATAATGTGAAACTTCACATTAAGTAATGTAAACACGTGGTGCACATTAACTTACTATTGCTGTTGCGCACCCCTCATTGAGTTCAACAGACATGGCTTAGCAGCTCTTGCAATGGCTTCACTGAAATGAACAGAAGCCTTGCAAGGTATTACAGTAAATTCAGTCACATGTGCAGAAAATAAATCCACATGTGCTAGTTCAGCAAATGATCAGTCCAATATTAGACTAAATTAACACAATTATAGTAATTAGGTGGCAGAACATTCTGAATGTGATTTTAACTCTAGAATATGCTGTTATTGCTGCAGTGCAGACTGATCCTAAACTCTGGAATGAATCAAACTTGAGGAATCATGTCTGTGTAAGGAGTAGCAGATACAGGCAAGTAAAGAACTTGGAAGTAGCTGGCTACAAATACTTAAGTAATTAATTTCTTTCCCAAAGAAGTTTCAGAAGGGTACAATCAAATTACATTATGATCTGGACTTAATGAGGAATGCCCTCATTCTTTGGTTGGTATAAATGAAACTTCTGAGTTACTTTTTTATTCATGTAGTGGTGTGAAAGTATGTGTTTATGTGTATATGAAAGCTGGACAATTGACAAGAAAAAATGATTTGTCTCAAATGTGGTGCTGGAGGAGAGCTTCACGGATACCCTGGACTGCTAAAAAGACAAATGAGTGGGTTCTGGATCAAATCAAGTCTGAAATCTCTCTGGAGGCAAAAATCTGAAACTGAGACTGTCCTACTTTGGGCACATCGTGAGAAGGCAGGATTCCCTGAAAAAGACAATCATGCTGGGAAAGGTGGAAGACAACAGGAAAAGAGGAAGACCAAACATGAGGTGGACTGAGTCCCTAAAGGAAGCCATAGGCTTCAGTTTGCAGGAGCTGAGCAGGGCAACTAAGGACAGGACATTTTGGAAATCACTCATTCATAGTGTTGCCATATATCAGAAATGACTTGACAGCACATAACAAGAACAACAACGTAAGTGGTGTAGCACCACTAAATAGTGGCAGAACCATATTCCATGGCTCAAATGCTGGTTCCTGCTGCTCCCTGTGCTGCTGCTTTAGATTCTCTTGTAGATGCTGAGATGGCAACGACTGCAAGGGGAATGGAATTTGTTCTGCATCAGGGGCCAGCAGTTTGTAGCATTCTGATTCCTCCCCCAAAGTAACAGACTTAATTGCTTTGAAAGTGACCTTCCAAGCTTAGGGCAGGTGAGGCGGGTACTAAATCACATGGGTAACACATATTTTTAAACTTGTTTTTGCAAGGCTCCAGTAACATGATTATTAATCCTACTGAAAAACATGAAAGGAAGATTTTTCAGTGATTTATGATAATACAAGAAATCCCACTGTTAACAAGAATTACTCCACTAGGAGTATACTTTGAAATACAGGACACATTTTCTCAATAATATAATGAACAAACGGGTGACACCATGCTGGTGTACAGAAAGTTTGTAATGTATTCTTCTCATTATCAGGCACTATTTCAGCCTAGAGGGAAGCAGTTAATAAATACTGTAGCAGAAGATGCAAGGTACTGCTATTAAGAGAGAAAGATATCATGACTCCTAGGAGGTATAATACAGAGCATTTGACACACAAATTGGTCACATATGGTCTTACACAGTGGGGTAGCTAATTCTGCCAAAGCAAGGTTTATCCATTTCTTTCTTATTTCCTCCTGCCTATTAGTCCTTCCAGACTTTTTTGAAGTAATTATTCATAATTGGGTTCGCCCCCTCAAAATAACGATGAATTGTAATGAGTTTAAAAAACAAAAACAAAAAAAACCCTGATTTTTGTTTTAATTGCACAGATCCAAATAGTGTGATTCTGGTTATATGTGAATTCCCCCGCCCCTTCCACCTATAACCAAATGGCAAGGGAAGACATGCAATGCCTGGTTATTCCAAGATGCCTTTCTTTTCCTCCACTGGCCCACATGGTGCTCTGAACCTTCTGGTTTGCTCCTACAGCACCGTTGTTGTGCTTATGGGAATGGGAGCAAGTCTGAAGGGACACGGCACCAAGACAGTGTCGGTGGAAGTGAGTGCAATGTGCTCCCAATTCAGTGGCCAGCATATGAAGCAGATGCTGCGGAAAACACATGGGCAGCTGTGCTTGTGCCCTGACAGAGAAGGATGAAAGCAGGGAGTGGCCAGTGGGCATGCAGGGACATGGCACCAAGACAGTGTCGGTGGAAGTGAGTGCAATGTGCTCCTAATTCAGTGGCCAGCATATGAAGCAGATGCTGCGGAAAACACATGGGCAGCTGTGCTTGTGCCCTGACAGAGAAGGATGAGAGCAGGGAGTGGCCAGTGGGCTTTAGGACAGTTGGGACAAGGTGGTATCCTCCTCCTTCTCCTCCTCCTCCTCCTCCTTCTTTTCTCCTCCCATCCTGTCCTTGGGCATTTCTGTGGGTTGAAGCTTGAGCAGGTACGCCGTGCAAGACAGAAAACCCTCATTTCCAAGAAATAGGTTGGCAAGGGAGGGATTCTCCAGGAGGGCCTGTCTGTCTCCTCCTCCTCCTTTTCTCCTTCCATCCTGTCCTTGGGCATTTATGTGGGTTGAAGCTTGAGCAGGTACGCCGTGCAAGACAGAAAACCCTCATTTCCAAGAAATAGGTTGGCAAGGGAGGGATTCTCCAGGAGGGCCTGTCTGTCCAAGGTAGCATTTGAAGTATGGTAGTTACATTTTGGGGTGTGTGTGCATAAGAATTATACACAGATTCTGAACTACATGGAGGTCTGAAATCCTTAACGCCAGCGTTGTTGGAGTGGGAAGTGTATGTGGTATTATCTACCTCCAGGAGGGCCTGTCTGTTCAAGGTAGCATTTGAAGTAGTTGCATTTTGGGGTGTGTGTGCATAAGAGTTATACACAGATTCTGAACTACATGGAGGTCTGAAATCCTTAACGCCAGCGTTGTTGGAGTGGGAAGTGTATGTGGTATTATCTAGAACACTGGTTGTTAACCTTGGGTTACTCAGGAGTTTTGGACTGCAACTCCCAGAAGCCTTCACCACCAGCTGTCCTGACTGAGGTTTCTGGGAGTTGCAGTTAAAAGAACCCTTAACACCAGTGTTGTTGGAGTGAGAAGTGTATGTAGTTTTATCTAGAAGTTGAGTCATGGCAACTGGACTTCTTCCTTATTACTCTGAAATGTTTCGCTACTCGTCCAAGTAGCTTTTTCAGTCTGAGGAGAGTTGGTAGGAGACCCCTGATATAATCCTCCACATTGGTTTCACCTTCCCCTGGTCTGAATGGGGGAAAGTGAAACCAACATGGAGGATATATTAGGGATCTCCTACCAATCGTCCTCAGACTGAAGAAGCTACCTGGATGAGTAGCAAAACTTTTCAACATAGTAAAAAAGCAGTCCAGTTGCCATGACTCCTTCCAGATAACCTCGCCTGGTTGTGGGGGAAAGTGAAACCAACATGGAGGATATATTAGGGATCTCCTACCAATCGTCCTCAGACTGAAGAAGCTACCTGGATGAGTAGCAAAACTTTTCCACATAATAAGAAAGCAGTCCAGTTGCCATGACTCCTTCCAGATAACCTCGCCTGGATGACTGAGAATCCTCACAGATGTACGTGGTTTTATAATTTCTTTTCTTTTACTGAAAAAGGAAAGGGAATATTTCCTAACAGGAACGTGGATTTTGGGACTGGTCTATGATGAACATGTCAAAGTGTGAAAGTGTGAATTGACTGAGAATCCTCACAGATGTATGTGGTTTTATAATTTTTCTTTTACCGAAAAAGGAATGGGAATATTTCCTAACAGGAACGTGGATTTTGGGACTGGTCTATGATGAACATGTCAAAGTGTGAAAGTGTGAAATCAGTCTATGCCTCATTTATTCTCAGGAATTTATAATTTAAGTCAGAAGTGAAGAATGTTTTTTTTCCACTACCCTGTTTTCTTGAAAATAAGACTTAACCTGAAAAAACTCATTTATTCTCAAGAATTTATCATTTAAGTCAGGAGTGAAGAATGTTTTTTCCCACTACCCTGTTTTCCTGAAAATAAGACTTAACCTGAAAATAAGCCCTAGTGTGATTTTTCAGAATGCTCATGATATAAGCCCTACCCCAAAAATAAGCCCCAGTTAAGTGAAACCCTGCCCTCCACCATTGTACAGCATTTTACAGCAATCAGAAGAAGATGACATGACTGTATTTGAATAAATGTAGATTGTTGTACATGAAAAAAATAAAACATCCTCTGGAAATAAGCCCTAATGTGTTTTTTCGAGCAAAATTTAATATAAGGCCCTGCCTTATTTTTGGGGAAACACGGCAGTAGTTTTGGGCTTTATCATTCAGAAACTGCAGCAAAAATGGCTCATAATAAACAAGGAGTGGAGGATGCAAAGTTTGGCTCAAACAAATAACAGTTTACCAGGTCTGGCCATCATAGAGAGTTGAATTTAGTTTTACTGAGATTGTACACAATAATTTTCCACTTTTGGTCCACATGGTTTCTTGTCATATCTCAGCCAAGTTAAAGTGCACTAAAATAAAAGACTAGCTAATGACACCCATCAATCACAGTGATGTATCATCTCCCTCCTTATCACAACAATACACCCATAACAAAAACACCCTGATCACAGGAATCACTCAATATATTGAAAAGAACAAAACCTGATCCCACAACTACAAATACTCAACAATCCCACACACTACATCAGAACAAAGACAGAGTTCTAGCTCCTGTCCTCTGAAGATGCCAGCCACGGAGACTGGCAAAACGTCAGGAAGAAAAGCCTCCAGAGCACAGCCAAACAGCCTGAAAAATGTACAACAACCATCGGATCCCAGCCATGAAAGCCTTCGAGAACACATTGCACTAAAATATGTTTTAAAGTTTTGTACGAAATTTATTCTGAATCACCTACCTTCCGCAAGTGTTCGCTGCAGTAAATCATGTTTTGCCTGAAGTTTTGTGATGAGGTTGCTCCCTTCTAGGTACTCTCTGAATTTCTGCAAACATATAGATCAATGTGTGTCACATCTACATTTTGGCTACCTACATTCTATTGACTTTGAAAAAAAAAACTATACTGAGAGAACATCTCATGGCTGAGAAATTATTAATCATTTACCATAAAATAGAACTGTTCAGTCTCCTGCTGGTTTGCTCTTCTCTTAGCAATACTAGGCTTGCTCAAATAGGTCTCAGAAACAGTTGACTTCACAGACTCAGTTGAACGACTATGCTGGAAACATTCAGAAACATCATAGTCCTCAATGGTGACCATATCTTGTACTGTCTGTAAAGTAGCTTCAGTTGTCTTCTTAATCTGGGTAAACAGAAAGAAGGGCAAAGAAAAACATATTCCAGAATGAGTTTGGAAAGCAAGCGTGAAAAGGCAACTACTTGAGTGAAACCAACCATAGTATACAGCATGTCTCAGGGTCATAACCAAGGCAGGACAGCTGGGACTAAATCCCAGGGTACCAAATTTAGAGGGCACAGCACAACGATGCCCCTGTCCTCTGCTGATCCTCCTCAGAAGCAATGAGCTAAAGATAGACAGTTATGGAGCCCCAAGCTAAACCATCTGTACTGGGAAATACCATCTGGCATGGCCCCCACTACCAATGAGCCTTACTCAGCTCCCCATTGCAATCTCCTGGACACTAAAAACAAACAAACAAAAAACCCATAGAAAAAAATAAATTTCTGGCAGTCCACACCACTGGAGGAAAAAGAAAAAGAAAAAGCAGCTTGATGTACTTCCTGGCTCTACTTTGAATTCTGGTGTCAAAGGAAAGTCCTGGGAAGCATGGAAAGGGTACTTTCTCTTTTTCAAAATGCAAGCAACCTCAACACTACACTACCCTTCCCATCTATCTGTGAAGATTCTCATTCAGCCAGGTGAGATCATCTGGAAGTTGAGTCATGGCAACTGGACTTCTTTCCAAGTTGGATGAGTAGCAAAATGTTTCAACCTGATAAGAAAGAAGTCCAGTTGCCATGACTCAACTTCCATATACCTTTTCCATTATGCTTTGCTTGTCAGGATGTCGCCTTGAAACCAGCAATTAAAGGAGAACAAGGAGTTCAGAATGCAAACAGCTCCCTCTCCTTTTTTGCATCTATGATGCATGCTGGTGGAGAGTAATCTTTTCTTTCTTTTTCCAGCCTCTGGGGATGGTAAATGGGGTGGGGTGGGGCTGACTACAGATTGGCAACAGGGTGCTGTGCAGTGCTCTACTTCTTACTGTTGATTGGTGAGTTTTAGGCTGCATGGATGACTGCTTTTACCTTGTTGCTTTCAAAAAGAATCAGCAGAGCATAGGACAATTGTTGTGGCTCTGCCCTCTTAATTTGGTATATCCTAGAGTTGTGGGTTTTTTGTTTGTTTTTCCCTTGCATAAAAATCACTAGTTACAACTCTGTTAGTTTAGTCAGGCATTCTAAAACTGAAGAACCTGAATACATGAGGCTAATCCTATGTGTGGTTTCTTCCATCATCTTCCACATATGAATGTCAATGTTTTTAAAGAAGACCCTCTTCTATTCATGGAGGTGCTCCATGGACTGTAACACTGAGATCAAGATAATTAGTATTCTTAATTGCATGCATAAGTTCCATGGATAGAGGAACCCCTACTCTTCATAACACAGTCTTCCACAGTGGTGGGTAATGAAAATGGTAGTGGAGAAGGGGTGAAGTAATGCACTTCCCCCCCTACATCAATATTACTCAGCTTTGGAATACCCAAATAAGGAATTGAACTAGAATTGCATTATACGAACATAAAAAACAAGATGCTGATATTGCAAACATACAACATTTTGGTTGTTGTGGGTTTTTCAGGCTCTTTGGCCATGTTCTGAAGGTTGTTCTTCCTAATGTTTCGCCAGTCTCTGTGGCCGGCATCTTCAGAGGACAGCACTCTGTGCTCTGGTGTAGTTGGCTTGGGAGTGGAGTATTTATGGCTGTGAGATGGGCTTTTGTCTTTTTCTGTAGATGGGTGATTAGTGTGTCTTACTGTGGGTGTATTGTTGTGATAAGAAGGAGAGACTATCTGTCACTGTGGTTGATGGGTGTCATTAGCTGGTCTTTTGTGTATAGTGATCCCCGCTCCTTGTGGCTGGGTAGAGGTCGTTGACCTTTTGCACGCTGTATTTTTCAGAGCTGGGAGCCAAGTTTTGTTCAGTTTCAAAGTTTCCTCTTTTTTGTTGAAGTTCTGCTGGTGCATGTGGATTTCAATGGCTTCCCCGTGCAGTCTGACGTAATGATTGCTGATGTTGTCCAGTATTTCAGTATTTTGAAATAGAATTTCATGTCCAGCTTGTTTTAGGGCATGTTAAACTACTGCAGATTTTTCTGGTTGTTTTAGTCTGAAGTGTCTCTCATGTTCTTTGATTCTGGTGTGGATGCTTCGTTTTGTGGTTCCAATATATACCTGACCACAACTGCAAGGTATCCGGTATACTCCTGCAGTGGTGAGGGGGTCCCTTCTGTCCTTTGCTGAC